GCAGGCAGAAAAAGCTGCAGACGAGACCCGCCGACAAGAAGAAATGGAAGAGAGAAGAAAGGAAACCGAAGCACTTAAGGAAGCCCAAGAAAGCACTTATAAAGAAGTCGCCCTCATGATAAAAGCAAAGGCAGGAGCCGAAGCTGCAGTGCTGGCGGTAAGAACGGAGCGTGCCCTGCTAGAGAAAAAAAGAGAGGTCTCCAGGAAAGCTGTAAAGCAACCAATTATCAACAAGGCCGAGAAAGGCACAGTTACCGAAACGGTAATGACGCAGCACCAGGAACAGATGACAGACCCTACTAGAGACGAAGTACAAAACAACGAAACACCTATCAAGCAGCCAGCCACCCCACGCGTGAGCCAAACAGCAGCAGCCGAAATAACTAGCTTCGCCGACCTTCAAGCGAGGGTTGAAGATTACAACAAGCAGGCGGCTCCGCACACGCTGGAGTATTTCGACGACTGCGAACGCTACGTTGTCGGCTACTCATTTGAGGAATACGGAGATGAAGGCGAAACACCCGAACTTCTTGAAAAGAGCAAGAAAGTTGACCGATTCTGCGACGAGTTAAACACAGCCCTAGACCAGCTCAGGGCGCCAAAGAAAAAGCAGGGCAAAAAGTCTAAGTCCAAGTCCTTTTGAGAAAAAAAAAAAAAAAAAAGAAAAGCTCGACCACGTTCAGACTGCTGCTAGCTAGCCTAGGCTACTAGCAGTCTCCGCCTATATTTGTGGTCTGGGTTATTTGCGTCACTTTCGTGACTGAATTTTAGTGTTTGTGCCATTTCTGGGCTTGATGCTTCCGTCCGAATCAAACCGCTCGTCCTGTTGTCACTGGTACATTGTCTTCCTTCTTCTTTCTTGGTGTTTCCTGTTTGTTCTGTCTCCCTTTGATCTGGCTAGGCGTATCTCGAAGGAGAGCGAGCTTCCATACACAACGTCCTTTGGACCACCATTTATTGTTTTAAAATTTTGAGTATTTAAATTATGCCAAAAAGTACTGAAAACAGTTTTGAATTTGAATAGTTCCGAAATGTGAAAATGTTCCGCGTGTGACAATAGTGGTCTTATAGTTGTCTTCCTGTAATATGAACGGGTTAGTCCTGTAATGGATATGTATGTGAGAGTTTATGTGGTGACTTAAGTGGGTCCCAGGGCAAAAATGGCACACCGAATAGAAAAGGCTACCGCCAATTCTAAGAAAGAGCTCACCAAACAAGCCGCCATCTTTACGGACAGCCCAAAACAAACAACCACCAACCGGACAGACAGTCGCCGTACCGGAGCCACACCCACCTGCTCCGCCCCTCTGGCAAATAACCATGTAATAACCACAGAGCTAACCAGAAATCTTAACCTAGTTTATTTTCAGGAAAAAGAAGACCACGGAAATTACCAACAGGCCACCCGACGCTCCGAAGCAGATAGCCGAGGGCACTGCATCTAAGGGGACCAGCACTTGGGAATTCCAGTCACCATCACGCCACCCCACCCCAACCCACGTGTATTTTAACAAATGCCTTTCACTTTTATTTCAGACCAAGTGACCTCAACCGACCAGGGTGGATCCTACCTCTATCTGTCACTCTCATTCTCCCGACTTAAATATCACATCTCCTGGCACATTCGAGCAAATTTGATCTCTCATTTGCAGTCTATCTTACCTCCACTACTTCTCCACACTCCGTGGAAAAAAACAAACGGGCTGATCACAACAACAGATTGTGACGGCCCTGGTTGTCGGAGCGAAAGGACGGGAGACTGAGTGTAAGAATGTCAAAGCGAGATTGCTTGACCGGAAAGGCGAACCAGTCGACGACGTTTGAAGCCAAGACCAGCCAGGCCAGTCTGTATAATGTCAAGGAGATGAACCAGATACATCTTTGCAAACTCTGGTCAGTGACTGCGTGAGGAACCAGCATGTTGTACTGTGTGAAAGCTGTTTTTTTAGGTCAACGACTGGACGATGATGTAAGTTCTAATATGTCAATAAAGTGTTGTTTCCTACGGCTAAGTCGGTGTCGGCTTGTCCCAGTTATGTCATTGTTGAATGTGTGCTAAGAGAATTCGCGACACATATCATCCTCTAGACAACGAGTCAGCTTAGTGCAAAGCAGATTATTGCAAACTGCGTAGAGATATATTCAATGTGTATCATCGTTTGGGGATATTTCATGTTATTAGTGAAGTGCTTTTCACTTTAATGGTTGTTAAACGTTTTGTCATTTGTGAACAGCGCTTAGTTTTGTGTTCAGTGAAATAAAGAGATGTTAAATGTGATGCTTATATTTATTTGCTTGATTCGGATTCAAGATAGAACTTGATTGTTCGATAGCCTCATGGTATGTCTAGGTGTTACCTTAGTCATGTAGTTAGGTTGTTGTTGTGTAACAGAGCTATTTCACATATCCTTTGTCTGGGATTTGGCGAAATATTCCAGGACCCCTGCAAAGGAGAACTCCGTGTCTTTACTTTCCTGTTTTTGATGTTTAGCGAGGAACTACTAAATTTTGTCTGAGTCATATTTCGGCTATCCTCCGACTAACGGTGGGCAAAGATGGCGGCCGCAAAATATCCAGTCGAGCCACAGTCACGTGTTGTAAACAGTCAAAAATTGAAGTGGAAACTAATAAGGAACGAAAACTAACAAGGAGCGACAAAAATGTTATATCAAATCGACTACTTACCGATAATTGTATGCCTTTATATCTGGAAATTATGGCACAGACGTTCTAAATAGTGCTCGAAAATCTGCTGTTTGTGGCTGTTACGCCATTGAAACTCGGCTAAATACGATCGAAACAAAGCTCGGCTCGTACCGCATTGGTAACGCACCTTTCTTTTTAGTAGCATCCACAGACCGGCTATCCTCCGAATAACAGGGTCTCACTCACGTGTCAATTTCGAACTTCCAGCGACTTAATTTGCGGTTTTCCGGCGACTACTGCCACCACCGAGAGTATCCCCCACGCCGCTCACGCTGCGTGGATTGGGACTAAACTAGATGGCTAGGACTCACGAGCAACGCTGTAGGAGATGCGGAAGCTGCTGCTCGTGGGTCCCAGTCATCAAGTTTAGCCCCATCCGCGCCGCTACGCCGAGTGTCTCGGCGGCGAGTTTAACTCGGTGGTTTGTTCCGTTTCTCGAAATTGTCAACAGACACTAATCCTAGTTTTGCCGCAATGTATTCGTGACCGCAAGTGCGCTATAGACACGTGACTGTGGCTTAACTGGATATTTTGCGGCCGCCATCTTTGCCGACCGTTATTCGGAGGATAGCCCATATTTCTTTGTCTTCGTCTACCTACTTCTTGTTTTTCATTTTCCTTCTTCCCGCTAGCACACATACATAGTAAAAAAATTACATTGCAGCCACAGAAACTTCTAAAAGCATCGGTGAGTCTGAGCAGCTGACTGTAAACTACATATCCTTCCAGAGCCGCTATATATTACTAACTTTTACTGTCCCGACAACAAGCAACTGAAGCTAGATGACATCACGGAGCTGTATAATTCTCAGTGACTTTGACAGTCATTCCCCTTACTAGGGCTATGCTTCAATGGACACAAGAGAAGAGGAGTTAGAGGAATAGACAGTGAAAAACCTGATGATGCTAGTTAATGAACATGGCTGACGAACACAAGGAACACCAGACCTAGACATAGCTACAGAAAACATCCAACAACGGGCAGACAGAAGTGATGAAACAGCTCAGAGGAAGTGATCACAAACAAGTCGTCTTCATGATAGGAGAGGTCAAGCCACCAGTAAGCAGGAAGAAGATAACCAGCTGAAACTACAAGAAAGCGCATTGGGACATCACAAATTTCACTGAAAAGAATATGTCGGAGCCCTTTCCAACAAATGAGGTTAAAAAAACAAAAAAACCACAGCTCTCACCAATATTATTCTCAAAGCAGCACAAAAATCAACTCCCTGAGGTCGAAGGCAAAACTGTGAAACCCTTCTCGGTCCAAAAACTGAGACAGCTGTATGAAAAAAAAAGCACAGAAGCAAGAGTACACACCAAACAAGATCCCTCTGACCTTAGCGTAACAGAACACAATAAACGTCAGGCTATTCATAGAAACAAATAAGCTCACATGCATCAAGAAAAGATGGCAGCTTTCAACATGTAGAAAGACAGTAAAAGTCTGTGGCATCTAGTAAAGAACCTAAATGAGAAGAAACAGCAGCTGAATGCGCTGCTGTCAAGAGATGAAGATACAAGGGAATTAGCGACGAAGAACCATATGCTGTAAATGGACATTAAGCGAGGACGGGCATGCAGAAAACTCGCGGTATCTACTCCTGCTGGGTACGTTGAGCGTGAAGACACGTACACGTGCATACATGCACATTGGTAATGAGTTCAAATTCACAAGACTAGTGATAGAAGGAAAGATCGCGAGTCAGGATCACGTATGTTTACTGAAAACCTAATGAACGAAATTTGAATTAGAAGCTCAGTGACGTATAGAGAGATACAATAGTTTCTATTAAAATAATTAATAGCAAGTTAACGACATCTTGTACTAGATTCACCGAGAAACAGCAGATGGCCATCTCGTTAGAATGTAGCAAAATCAAATACCATCACAAGCTACATCTCAGAAGATCAACTACAAGAGCAAGAGGATGGCCGCGGAAAAAATGGATCGACAGCGTTAAAGACACTACGCCTTTACAGCATGACAATATAGCCAGTGAAAGGCAACGTGCACTGGATCGCAAATTATTCCTCCCCACGTCACTTAACGGCAGAAGTAGTATATGATGATGATGAACAACTAGTAAATCATGAATCTTCATCTATAATAACGAATGACACGGGCTTTTTAGTAAAGTGTATCGGCACGGCACAGGCTGTTGATGAGGTGCTCGGTCTCTGACAACAAAAGTGGAGGCGTCGTTGAGTGTGCAACTGTTGAGTCACAGTGGCGTAGGGTTGATTCCACCTAACTGACTTGCAGTTGTCAACTAGTTAGTAGTGTACTACAAATGGCACATCAAGTGAGTGTGTAGTTTGTGTTGAACACTTCCTAATGTATAATTTAACACTGCAATGTAGTTGTAATTCTAATAAAATTAAACAAATAATCTTCCAAACTGCCAAAGTAACTCGATTTGAGCTAACTGCAGGGACTCTAGTGAGTTCACTGTCAATCAAATCAAGCAACTTCCGTGTAGAAACTAGAAGTGTAGACAAGATACATCAATTTTTATTATTAATGTGTTTACTTTTCTTTGTGTAGCGTAGCATTAATTGACATTCCACAGTCATTAAGAAGAAAACACCAGGGCCTAAAACAGTAATTCTGTGTAGCATGATTAGGAACACAAAATATTGTAATTCTATAAGGTCTAAACAAATAAGAAACCTGGCTCATAGATCACTCCATAACTAACTGAAATACTTCAGGCATGTTAACTGTTAAGCTTCATTGGCTCAGAAAGTATGGTTTAGGTATAAACGACAGATCAAAATTTCACTCACATATGCTTTCTTAGTGACTCAATGAAAATGCTTTAAAAAATCCAGGCTGGATTTATCTTATCAGGCAAGAATTATGGATTGAAACACTAAGCACTTCACGAACATCTAGTCCAAGTCCTTTTGAGAAAAAAATTAAAAGGTCGACCACTTTCAGACTGCTGCTAGCTAGCCGAGGCTGCTAACAGTCTCCGCCTATATTTGTGGTCTGGGTTATGTGCGTCACTTTCGTGACTAAATTCTAGTATTGCGCCATGTCTGGGCTTGATGCTTCCTTCCTCTGCCTTAACCTTAATCTTTGTGCCAGGTCATGCGGATGTTCAAGGAATCGAGCGTGCAGACTTTCTTGCTGACACTGCAGTTGCTATGGCTGGCCTAGTACTGGACAAAAGTGATGTTATCAATGCCATGCGCTGCACTTGCCGCACTGAGGAGCACTCCAAAAGACATGACTCCATATCCCTTACTAGACTGATGGACATAAGGGTGCAGCCTGGAGCTGCAAGAAATGAACATCTCACTAAGAGGACAAGACGTTTCATTAACCAACACAGAACAGGCGTTGTCAGCCGTGTTTTACACTTGTGAGCTTTTAAAGAAGAGATCGGAGCACCTGTTGATCTGTCTGGAGTGCTGTGATGATAATCCTTTCGGCTATCCTCCGAATAATGGCCACATATTATGGCGGCCACAAAAACACCCTAACAGGGCCTCAGTCACATGTAAATTGCGGATTTCTGTCTACTTAAATTGCGCACTTCCGGCGACTACCGCCACCGCCGAGGGTATCTGCCATGCCACTATGCGTGGCGTGGATTGGGGCTAAGCTACATGGCTGGGACTCACGAGCAGCACCTTCCGCATCTCCTGCAGCTTTGCTCGTGAGTGCCAGCCATCTGGTTTAGCCCCCATCCACGCCGCACGCATCTGCGTGGGAGATACTCTCGGCGGTGGCGGTATAGTCGCTGGAAGTGCGCAATTTACATGTGACTGAGGCCTGCTTTTGGCCACCATAATATGTGGCCGTTATTCGGAGGATAGCCATCCTTTCTAATTACTAATAACTAATCACCATTGTTGCACAAGGGTAGTAACCCATAAGTGCTCCGTTCTACTTAAGCCTAAACAGAAAGTAAGATCAGTAATAATAGAAGAATTAGAACAAGCATGCCATAAAAGTCAACTAATTAGGGATATTTCTTTCGAAGTTAAAGTCATCTGCCTGTGAGCTGAGAAACCAGCATTCTGCATAGTAATAAGCCAAATCCTTAAATGGATATGCAAGTTTTGGAACAAGACTAAAGTCCAAACAATGAACAAAAAGAACCCTCTGCAATAATTTACAGTATGTGAACACTAAGATTAAGATTTTCATACCATAAAGCTCAACATAGTCTCTCCTTGGTCTCCTTCTGCTTTTCTTCTTCTCCACTTTTCTCACTGTCCTGATGTTTGTCCGTATTCTTCTTCCCACAAAGTGACCAAAGAATGGTCTAATGCCCGTTAGTGCATTTGTCTGTTACAGGTAGAGAATAATGATGATTTGTTTCTTAAATTCTGCAGCAAGGATACGGTGCTCCTCAGAGCACTTACCCTAGTGCTCCAGGTTATGGAGCTGCACCTACAGGTTATCCAGGTCAGACCAATCCTGGGGGACCTCCAGGTAATCATTTACAGTATATAATTAATCTCAACTTGAATGATAGGTTCTAATCACAGAATTCACCCCATCTTGCTCACGTGCGAGATCTCTTGGCCATTCCTACGGGCTGTTCTATCTTTTAAGGGTGTTGTGAGATGCCTCTCTTCAGTGTCTATACACAGTGTGACCAAAAGTGACTTGTGTTTGTTCGACAAGGTCAACACACTGTCTTCCCAGATGCAGCTGCGCAACTTTGTTTTTGCTACTGTCTTTTGTGTGAATGAGTGTTGTTTCTGGAATGTATTGTTGTTGTGAGTAGCTCAGGCACCGCACGCACCTTTGTACATGGAAGAAGTACTGCAGGATGAAGCACTGAAGGCAAGGAGGTTCATGAGTATCGAATCCTTGATGTTTAAATATTTTGACACTTATTGGCGGTGGCTGTCATTGCTGGCGGATGTGCTTAAAACCTTCAAGACAAGCAACACCTGACGCACCTAGAACATAACACAGCTCGTTGGAACAGCCACAAGATCTCGTGTGTAAACGATGTGGGATGAATTCCATCATTAGTACTGAATGATGTGGCATAATCAGTAATGTGGAGCTAAAAGAAGGAAATAAAAAAAAGTTCTATGAATCAAGAGGTGAGGGGGAAAAGGGGGGGGGGGGGGGGGGGGGGGGGGGCGACTGACATTGTACAGGACATGAACTGAAAAAATAATAATTTATTTAGAATTGTTCTTGCACTAGATATAAATAATCTCAACTTGAATGATATGACTGAATCACTGACCTGGAGTTTGGGGAAGGAACTAAACAAATTCCAGGGAATCAGGTGATGAGGAAAATATGCTGGCACTATATAGGACACAAATAGGAAAATATGGTAATTAAATAACTAGAACTCACATGACAAAGATATAAGGGTAGATCTAAAAATACATGGAAAAGAGAATGACAGAGATGGATAATATGAGGGTGACTGTAAGGGTTCCGGGATCCCATTTAGGGGTGGGAGGGGGGCACACGTTTGCCCGGGTAATCCCCAAAATATAGGTGATGTCCCAGTGGGAATTCTCGAAATTAAAAAAAATTTAAAAACAATTTTACACAAGTCACTCCCCCCCCCCCCCCCCCCCATGATATTTTTAGCTATTGTATTCATTTCCTGACCTCATAAATGTTTGCATGAACGAATTAAGCTGCTAGCAGTAATATAGGGCTTGTAAACAGGTCACTACAAACAAGCAGAAAAGTGACATTCACTGGGAGTTGGCCTCGGCTGGAATTGCAGGTTTTGTGGCTTCTTGAGGCAACAGGATTATGTGGCAGTGGGTTTACCCCCCCCCCTCCCCCCTTTTTTTTTTTCCTGCCCAGGTTGTGACCTTAAAGCCCATATGAGGGGGGGGGGGGGGAAACCATCTGGGCTGAAATGATTTTATCTTTTTATCTCTGTTTTGGATTTTTTCACCAGGTGCTCCAGGGGGCTATGGAGTGGCACCTGCAGGTTATCCTGGTCAGACCAACCCTATAGGACCTCCAGGTAATTATTTTCTTCTTCTTCAGCCTCATCGTTCATCTGAGTGATGTAACTATATTGTGTTTGCAGCATAGGGCATTTGTTATTCAAGTTAGCCTTCCCAGTTAGTATCCAGGGACATTTGTGGCCTCATTTGTGTGCTAACTTCATCTCCCTTAATCCCTAGGTGTTGTCCCTAGATGAACTGAGATTAACTGTTTTCTTAAGCTGTAAATCATAAATGATACATGCTGACAGTCAGCAGTTTCTGGACAGATTTAGTGGAATTCAGTGTAACTATCAGTTACTTAACTGTGTCATATTTGGTGTCTGTGCAGAATATAAGGTATTAAATGATACGACAGAATTGTGGAACTTAGAGAATTAAACAAATTCCAGCGTATGAAGGGCGATAAAAAGATAGGACAAATATTAAGAAAGCATAATAGTAGTATAATAGAATAACCTTACTTTGGAACCCACAGGGCAAAAAAGTTTAAGAGAGACCTAAACATGTGCATACAAATAAGAGAGAGAGAGAGAGAGAGATGAAAAATACGCCAAGAACATAGAGTGAGCTGCATATAATGATGAACCACAGGATGTCAAGGAATGACTTGGTTGAGAGGGCTAAAAGGGAGGGATTTTTCAGTTCAAACTCTGAAAGTTAAACATATTCCAGATAAGTTCTTCTGCATTCATCCGAAGATGTTATTTGTTGACAGCAATGCTGCGATATTTGCACCTTTCAGCTGACACGTCCGACTGCTGCAGGCATTTGTTGACTGGGTTAGCCTTCCTAGTTACTTTCTTGGGACATTGCAGTCTTATTGTTGTGTGGTCATCTTTATTTCCTAGGTCACTGGTGGTACCCACCATCAGGCTGGTCCAGAGAAGCCATGTAATACTGGTCAGCCCTCAAGAGAAGGCCGAGGCAAAACACGAGCATTCCCCACCATCCAAAGAGGCTTCCACAAATGCATAGCCAGTACATGGTGCTCTGGTTCTGGGCTCACCCACCAGACAAGTTCTACAAAAACTCTTATCCAGGGTAGAACACAGTGGATATAAGTATTCCAATAATTTGAATCAAAGAAATACAGAACATCATTAGTACCTTTAAGATTATTTTGGAGCGAGTTGATTCTTGCTTAAGTGTGGTATTTACATTCCTGTATTAGTTGCCTAGCACTGACAAGTAAGTTAAAGTACACATTTTGAGATCATGCATCTTTCCCATGGCAACTTATGGAGGTTAAGTTGTGGACTCTCACTCAGCCTTTAAAAAAATATGAGCTTTTGAATAAATATGCTGCAGAAAAATTCTTAGATTTCTGTAGACCCAGGAGAAGAACAAAGTCAACATCCTATGTGATCTCATCATCAAGGAAAAATGGCTCGTAAAAATTCTTTCTTGAAAGCTGAGGTGTTTTGAACGTATCAAGCGCCATGGTGGTCTGGAGAGAACAGTGATAGAGGGTGCAATTTCTGGAAAATGCAGCAAAGGTTGACCACAGCAAAAGTTTACACAGGGCACTGAGGATGCACTGGCAATGAAAGCACACTGGGCTGGAGAATTTGGCTAGAGAGAGACTTTCAGGTGTGCCGTGATGAAAGTAGTGTTCTGTAATGGGAATGCTGATTGATATTTCGATTCTGCCTTTATTCCTCAGGATTTGGCCAGGCTGCTCCTATTGATCCTCAGATTCAGCAGTGGTTCTCATCTGTAGACTCAGATCGGTCAGGTCGAATCACAGCCCTGGAGTTACAGAAGGCCCTGGTAAACACAAACTGGACACCCTTCAATGAAGAGACTTGCAGGCTCATGATTGGTAGGTGTGCATGCCAGTTTTTGACGTTTGGTTGTGCTTAATTGGACTGTTGATCATTTTCACATCTTCCCCGTTTGTGTGGTCTTGTCTGCAGATATATTTGACAGTGATTTGTCTGACTCATATCTGTATTCTTGTCTGCAGATATGTCTGACAGTGATTTGCCTGACTCATATCTGTATTCTTGTCTGCAGATATGTTTGACAGTGATTTGCCTGACTCATGTCTGTATTCTTGTCTGCAGATATGTCTGACAGTGATTTGTCTGACTCATGTCTGTATTCTTGTCTGCAGATATGTTTGACAGTGATTTGCCTGACTCATGTCTGTATTCTTGTCTGCAGATATGTTTGACAGTGATTTGTCTGACTCATATCTGTATTCTTGTCTGCAGATATGTCTGACAGTGATTTGCCTGACTCATATCTGTATTCTTGTCTGCAGATATGTTTGACAGTGATTTGCCTGACTCATGTCTGTATTCTTGTCTGCAGATATGTCTGACAGTGATTTGTCTGACTCATGTCTGTATTCTTGTCTGCAGATATGTTTGACAGTGATTTGCCTGACTCATGTCTGTATTCTTGTCTGCAGATATGTTTGACAGTGATTTGTCTGACTCATGTCTGTATTCTTGTCTGTAGATATATTTGACAGTGATTTGTCTGACTCATGTCTGTATTCTTGTCTGCAGATATGTTTGACAGTGATTTACCTGACTCATGTCTGTATTCTTGTCTGCAGATATGTTTGACAGTGATTTGTCTGACTCATGTCTGTATTCTTGTCTGCAGATATGTTTGACAGTGATTTGCCTGACTCATATCTGTATTCTTGTCTGCAGATATGTCTGACAGTGATTTGCCTGACTCATATCTGTATTCTTGTCTGCAGATATGTTTGACAGTGATTTGTCTGACTCATGTCTGTATTCTTGTCTGCAGATATGTTTGACAGTGATTTGTCTGACTCATGTCTGTATTCTTGTCTGCAGATATATTTGACAGTGATTTGTCTGACTCATGTCTGTATTCTTGTCTGCAGATATGTTTGACAGTGATTTGTCTGACTCATGTCTGTATTCTTGTCTGCAGATATATTTGACAGTGATTTGCCTGACTCATGTCTGTATTCTTGTCTGCAGATATGTCTGACAGTGATTTGCCTGACTCATATCTGTATTCTTGTCTGCAGATATGTTTGACAGTGATTTGCCTGACTCATGTCTTTATTCTTGTCTGCAGATATGTTTGGCAGTTACTTGTCTGACTCATGTCTGTCTTCTTGTCTGCAGATATGTTTGACAGTGATTTGCCTGACTCATGTCTGTATTCTTGTCTGCAGATATGTTTGGCAGTTACTTGTCTGACTCATGTCTGTCTTCTTGTCTGCAGATATGTTTGACAGTGATTTGCCTGACTCATGTCTGTATTCTTGTCTGCAGATATGTTTGGCAGTTACTTGTCTGACTCATGTCTGTCTTCTTGTCTGCAGATATGTTTGACAGGGACTTGTCTGACTCATGTCTGTCTTCTTGTCTGCAGTTATGTTTGACAGAGACTTGTCTGACTCATGTCTGTATTCTTGTCTGCAGATATGTTTAGCAGTTACTTGTCTGACTCATATCTGTCAACTTGTCTGCTGATATTTTTGACAGGGACTAGAAAGTCTACTAAGTCATGTCTGTATTATTGTCTTCATGTATCTTTGATTAGAAGGCCTCTTAAATTATGTCTGTATGTCTGTGTTCAGGTATGTTCGACAAGGACCTCAGTGGCACCATTGACATCTATGAGTTCCAGGCCCTGTGGCACTACATTCAACAGTGGAAGCAGACATTTGACCGCTATGATGTAAACAAGTCAGGCTCCATTGAAGGCACTGAGCTGCAGCAAGGTAGGTCCAGCAGAAATGTGAGAATTTGTAAAGTACTGATTTAATGTCAAAATTTGTGGCTTACGGGTTGTGAATACAGTTCAAAATCCTGATACGCCGAGTTTCAATATCAGCGGCAAGTTATGTGGTAACAGGCCGCCATGTTTTGATTTTGGCCGTGGATATGCATTGGGGGGGGGGGGGGGCATGCACCACCTGTGAACTAAGAAACACAGATGACCACATGACAGTGAGACTGCAGTGTCCCACAAAACTAACTGGGAAGGCTAACCTGGGCAACAAATGCCTGCAAAAGTCGGATGTGTCGGCCGAAAAGCACAAATATTGCAGTCATGTTATAAAAGGACACAATGCATTTACGTCCTTGGATGCACGAAGAAGAAGAAGAAATGATATCTACAATATGTTTGATGATAAATTTTTTATAATTTATCAAAATCTTATTTGCGATAATCAATCTATTTACTTTGACCATTCCAGCATTCAGAACAATGGGCTACAACGTATCCCCACAGTTTGTCCAGATTGTTGTAGTCAAGTTTGACCATCACGGCCGCCGGGCAATCACACTGGACAATTTTATCCAGTCAAGCGTCATGCTGAAGTCATTGACAGATGCCTTCAGACAGAGGGACCCGTCCATGACTGGAAGTATCCGTATCTCATATGAAGACTTTATGAGTCTGGCTGTCTTGTATAAGCCATAGTAGCTTTCAGTTCACTGAGATCTTAAATGTATACCATGTTTCCCTTGAATATAAGACCTAGTATTAATGTTACTCTCTAAAATACAACTTAGCCCTTATTTTCAGTGCCTGTCCTGTTTTTTCATGTTCACAAATCTACACTGATTGAAGTACACAAATCTACACTGATTGAAGTACACAAATCTACACTGATTGAAGTACACAAATCTACACTGATTGAAGTACACAAATCTACACTGATTGAAGTACACAAATCTACATTTTTTTAAGTTAAAAAAACACACCTTTATTCAGCTACAAAAATTGTCATTTGTTTAGTATTTGTACATTTATTACTTGAAAATTCAATGTGTCAGTCATGTGTTTCAACAGGCGAATGATATCTGTTTGTCTGGCTGATGATCTTAACTAGGGCTTTTATTGCGAGTATCCAGAAGAAAATTGTGCAAGGGGCTTATTTTCAGGTTAGGTCTTACTTTCAGGGAGACATGGTATTAGTTAACAGTGTAATTCCTGAAATGTTTTTTTTTTCATGCTGGCCTTCTGTTTTTGAAAGTGTTTTTATAATTTATTAAACTTCTTTAAAATTTAGATGTGTTAAGTATGTTTGTGGAGTAACTTTTGAGCAGCTTTGATATGATCTCTTCTTCTTCTTCTCCAGTTACTTTATCTAAGTGTTGGCGGAAAATGTAAGGGTCTTCTCTGTGCTTTCTTTAATGCATTGTGTCAGCTGATCTTCATTTCGCTCAAGTTGTTCTTGATGCCATTGTTCCTTTTTTCCTTCCCCTTGCTCTATGTTCATTATATTTCTTCTTCCTGGCTCTGTGTGGCAGTTGATACCAGGGCATTCTCGTCAAATGGTCAGACAATCTCATCTGTTGCTCTTTAATTAACTGCCAGAGCGGGTTTCATTCTTAGTCTTCCTAACACTTAGTGGGTGATGTTATCCAAATTAGAGGAGCCACTTTAGCCCTAGTACATTTTCTGACACTTATTTTAGGTAGCAATTTCTTCATTTTATATTTGATCTTTTGTTACCCAGCAGCCCTTCTCAGACATCTGGTCTCTGTTATGGTTGTGTGCTCATTAGTTGTAGTAAATGTCCATGTTTGACACTGGTAGGTTAGCTGGTAGGGGTACATTTTAATCATAAAGCATGTCTTTTATATGTGTTAATAGACCTAAACCTAAGGCTATTATACTTTTCAACAATGTTAGCTCTTGGCACACTGGTATTTTTCAACTTTGTGCCATGTAACACTGGTATTTTTCAACTTTGTGCCATGTAACACTGGTATTTTTCAACTTTGTGCCATGTAACACTGGTATTTTTCAACTTTGTGCCATGTAACACTGGTATTTTTCAACTTTGTGCCATGTAACACTGGTATATTTCAACTTTGTCCTGTGTAACACTGGTATTTTTCAACATTGTGCCATGTAACACTGGTATTTTTCAACTTTGTGCCATGGAACACTGGTATTTTTCAACTTAGTGCTGTGTAACACTGGTATTTTTCAACTTTGTCCCATGTAACACTGGTATTTTTTCAACTTTGTGCTATGTAACACTGGTGTTGAAAAAAAAATCTGTTTGTTATGCAACACTGCCATTCAGAAAGCAGTGGTAACTACTGAACGTAAAATTGCCTAGTGAAATCACAGACAGCCACACAGTGAAAGGTTGGTCCTGCAACATCCTTTAAAGGATATGCCTGACTTATTCTTTTTTTAAAATTGAAAACTGGTGTTTTTTATTTGTCTTGATGGTGATTTTCGGCTGGTGTGTCATTACAAACTGGTGACTTTCAATTCGTATGTGATTGCACATTGGTGTTTTTCAACTTGTGTCTTCCAGCTGCTATATCATTACACATAGTGTTTTACCAATTAATTGTTTTGGGGGTGAGTTTTAAAGCTTTAAAGCTTCTGACAGCATAAAATGCTCTTGGAAATGCCCTTGGAAGTAAAGGCAGCTGGCAAGATTATAAATCACACCACCCTTCCAGTACATATTGATCTGTAAAAATAAAGGGTTAGCATCATATGCTCAAAAACCATCACTAGTCTTAACTCTTTTAGTACCAAGGAACCCACTATATATCACTATATATGTCATGGCTGTTCAGCTAAGTTTACTCAGGGGATAGTCAAGGTCCAGAGGCGTGAGCTCCAGCGTAGAAAGATGGTTAATACAATACAGTTGACAATGATCCATGTGCCACTTGCTAGGCTTTCGCGGGTCAGATTTGGCCCGTGGGCCGCCAGTTGAGTAGCCCTGCTGTATATGGTAGGTGGTATTTGTTTACCTTTCCTATCCTATTCTTAAGTTAATCCCTTATTTTTCATTTGGCTTTGTTACCACTGTAACTTATAACATTGTGGTGCCCTGACTGATGCCATTCTTGTTACATGGCCAAACCACTCGCTCTGTTGTCTACTGATAAAGTGCAGTATTGGTTCGGTGCCCTCTGTCCTCCTGATAGGAATGATGATATCACAAGGAGAGTTGGCCCAGAACCAATGCTGAACTGTATCGGTAGACAACAGTTCAAGTGGTTTGGCCATGTAACAAGAATGGCACCATTCATGGCACCACAGAGCGCAATGGTATAAGTTACAGGGGTAACAGAGATCAACCACGCAGAAGATGGACCGCAGAAACATCAGAGACACTGAAAAGTACTATATACGAAGTGAACGAAAGGGCCTGTTCCAGAGATCTCTTCCTGCCCTGACACTGTGAGGCATTCCAAGAGTAGAGGAAAGAAGAAGAAGACAATCAGTTTTACAGATCTGCCTTATTTATATGCAGATTGTTGATTCTTCACCTTTCAGGCATATGCACTCAGACTTCATAGGAACAACTCGATTATTTGCCTTTTACGACATGCTTTTTAGGGAGACAGTTGGTTCCCCCCCCCCCCCCCCCCCCTTTTTGCCCTAAGGGAAGAGGACTGTTTTAATTTGATTGGATGCAGCACTTACAATTTATAATTTAGAGTATATCTTTAAAATTACAGTAAATGTTAACCTACTTATATTTAGTGTGACCCACTTTATTTCTTTAAAGGCTTTTACACATATGTATATAACATTTATATAACCAATGTTATGCTGTGTGCTTCTTGTCTTTTCTACCTATGTTGTTAACTGAGTATTTCTGTTTATTGTGTACTTTACTTTGTGTAGCCTAATTATTTGGATGTGGTTTATGTTATTACATTTATTTATGTATGTGTATGCTTTTCTATTTGAATACATATATAGACAAAACACTCTTTCATGAGATGAAAACAAACAGATAATTCAAGTTAAAATTTAAATTTTAGTATAAAGACAGTCATACATTTTTGACCTCATTATGAGAGGAGAAAAACTGAATTGTGACAGCTGTAAGATTTATGTAATGGGTGACTCATTTCAATACCCAATAACCCCTATCACTGTGGCTTAAGGGAAAATTTGACATTAACTTGCCTTTAAAAAAGCTGTTTGGCTCAAAGGAAACCCCCGCCCCGCTGCCCCTGCATTTATATCATTACCTCCTAAATGTTTAAAGACTAGACCCACTGCCCCCCCCCCCCTTACAAGTACGTTGTAAAACTCAATCAGTGAGGGGTGTCTCCTTTAAAGTTAGAGTGCATCTGCCTCAGAGGCAGGGAACCAAGAGTCTGCATAAAAATAAACCAGATTTGTAAAACTGATGTGCATGGGAAACCCAAGTTCTGGAACAAGACTACAAGTCCAGAAGTAGAAGTACCAACTGGAACTTTCCACCAGAGTTGACAACCAATGAACACCAAGAAAAAGATGAGTCTAAAGTGCACATAATATCATCATCATCATCAAGTGCCTTGCCACTGGCATAGGCTCTCATGCATCTCCACAGATCTGGGTCTTTGGTGTTCTGGATCAATTCCACTGATGATATTCCTCCATGCCACTGTCTTAAGCCATCCACCATAATTTCTCTTGGTCTGCCTCTGCCTCTTCTACCAGTGATCTTTCCAGTTGTCACAATATTTTCCAGTGCTCCTTTTCCTATCACATGACCAAAGAACTCTGTCTGTCTCCTGTTGTATATTGCACACATATGGAATACATTTTTGTTGTTGATGGCACATTTGTACACTAACAATTTTTCTTGCGATTGGAGATTGGTTCTACATTATCAGGAGCCCCAGTGACATTTTGATTAGTGAACCTTGTCGCTGAGAAAGTGATCTAGGTCTAGTCCTCTGTAGAGGCAGATTCTATTTTGTGAACAGTGCAGCTCTTGCAGGGTTGATCACATGTAACTGGGACCCAGAACCCCAAATACCAGGCTAAGGACTTAAGGAAGACGGAGAACAGGAAAATCAGGGGTGACTTCACACCACAAAGAATAGGAAACCAAATTAGATAGCCAAGGAACCTTCCTTCATATAGCAGGCCTCCGGGTGGCTAAAAAAGGATCAAGTTTTGGAATTTTTGTTTATCAGTTGGAATTGGAAATCAAATGTAATAAAATTTTGTAACAGACAATTTTTAGAATTTTCTGGGAATTGTCTAGAATAAAAGTAACGAGGAACGGAACAGGTCACACTATCTCATATGTCATGGCCTAGAAAATGTTATGACTTGCACACCCCAAAAGCAGTATTCTAAAGGAAAACTGCCATATTCTTAATTGTATGATTAACATTTGTGATTTAAATTAAAACATCTGCTGTTGGCTATGAATGTTGTCAAGTTGATATTTTCTTCTTTTAGACATTCCTTTTTCATGGAACTTGTTTTACTAGCTGATGCTTTTTTTCTTCTTATACATACGCTGATGTAATTTTGTGTGCATGTGTTTTATATAGGTTTATAGGGGTTTTAATGCTTTTGCCCCAGGTACACTGGGCAGAACAAGTTCATGACCCCATTAAAGTTCCATTAAAAAAAAAACTTGACATGGTGAAGCTTGAGTTGAATCCAACCCACGGGGCCTGACAAAAACGCATGTGTCAGGT